ACCTTGCTGCTTCCCACATGAATGCTTCTGCTCTCCAGTCCCTAGTATGAATCCTCAGCTTCCCTATTTTCTCCTAACTTCAACAGGCTTTTTCATTTTTTCTGAATGGCCCACCTTTGATCTTTTTTCCAGGCCCACCCATGCTTCAAACCACATATGTAAATTTGGAATTGGCATGGGTTGATCAGCCATTTGCATGTACTGATCAAGTCACAGGCCATATCATACATTTCCATAAACTGTTCAGCCTATTAAAAAAATGAGTGAAAGTGAAATGTGACACTTTTTGAAACGTATTTGTAGTCTTCCTTTCAGTTTCTTGTCTTTTTACATATCTTTTCTAGACCTAAAGCAACTTTACTGTCTGATTCAGCTTTCTATTTATTATCTGCTATCAAAATATTTAAACTTTGCTGGTAGCTATAACTTTTTGTTACACTTCTCAGCTTGCTGTTTCCAGGATACTACACGATTGTTATAATATGCTGTGATGCTAAAATGAAACAGTCAGAGGGATAATATTGAGCAAATAGATCCAATAATACAGATTTCATAACTGTGGAAACTGATCAGAAACATGGATTTTCCTAGAGTGCAAAAGCTGATGAAGTTAATGATATTCTACCGTTTTAACCAGTATACACAGCTTTACAAAGTAACATTGCGGCAAATTTCCTTTCAGTGAAATTAGTAAAACTATGGTTTGACCTTTTGTTTATCTTATCTGTAGCCCATAAACCAATATATTCACTCAAGAATGATAATCGAGGAATGTAATTTTAACAACATACATTCATACCATGTGATATACATATATTTGCATCATTACTCTATTTGGTATCTTCATTCAAGCATAATGAATATTCAACCTTAGTTAAATTTATATTTCTGCTTAGATTTATATCTTAATTGGTATAATAATAAAGATTAAACCCCATGAATGCTTGTGTTGAATCTTCACTAAAAGGTCCAAGTTCAGTTATTACTTTAAAGACCCATAAAATAACCTTGCAGAACATCAACAACTTGTTAAAATGTTTTGAATATCCTGTTCTTAAGTAGCCTGGCCCCTTGGGTAAACAATGAAACAAGTCTACCAAATGTTGTTGCTGGCAGTAACATTCTCAAAGTTTAAATAAATCTTTCTTTAGAACATAGCTCAACATGTTGTATGATATTGTTATGATCCTCAGACCTGAGTGCTACATTTATGTTACGATCTGGCTAGAGATCAGTAACTTTTATTTTTAAAGTAGACCAAGTTTGAAATCCAGGTACTTATTAAGAGAATAAGACCACAGGTTTCCATTGTTTAGAACAATAATAAACTTTACTAAACAAAGTTAGAATAGCAGTCCAATCAACATTATATGCTTTTCTAGTGGTTTCATATTTAATCGTTTTTGTCAATTTGAGTTTGAAGGGTTGTGCATACTTTAGACCATAAGATGAAGGAGCAGAATTAGGCCATTAGGTCCATTGAGTCTGCTCCACCATTCGATCATGGCTGATATGTTTATCAACCCCATTCTCCTGCCTTCTCCCTATAACTCTTCATCCCCTTTCTAATCAAGAACCTGTCTATTGCTGTCTTAAATGTGGCATTGGGTTCCACAGACTTACCACCCTCTGGCTGAAGAATTTCTTCCTCATCTCAGTTCTAAAGGGTCATCCCCGTGGCTGTGCCCTATTCTCTCCTGCAAGTGAAAAATCTTCTCTACATCCACTCTACCCAGACCTCTCAATATTCTGTGTCAATGATATCACCCCACTTCCTTCAAAACTCCATTGAATACAAACCCAGAATCCTCAATTGCTCCTCTTATGACAAGCCCTTTATTACAGGAATCATTCTTGTAAACCTCCTCTGGATTTCCTCCAACACCAGCACATCCTTCCCTAGATACAAGGCCCAAAACTGCTCACAATATTCCAAAGATATACAAGGTGTAGAGCTGGATGAACACAGCAGGCCAAGCAGCATCAGAGGAGCAGGAAGGCTGATGTTTCAGGCCTAGACCCTTCTTCAGATGCAGTTTGACTAAAGCCTTGTACAGTAAATTTTGTTGTTTTATTCTAGTCTTCATGAAATGAGTGGTAAGATTGCACATTTTAAAAATATCAATGAAAAGACTGTGGAACTTTTTTTTAAACAATTCGTTTCTTGAAAGTCACCTGCCTTGTGGTAATTTTTTTTAACCGCAGGCCTCCTGTCTGGGTTTACAACTGTCAGGCTGCAGGTGCTGCTTTCAACATTGCTGGGATTTGCAGTAGTGGCCTGCCTAGAGAAGGGAAACTTTTTGTTGTGGATCCAGTGTGGTACCTGGTGCTTTGGTTCAGCCTGGACTCTGAATATGCTTCTGAAGAGGGTCAGATGTATCCTTGATACAGTGTTTCCTGAATGTGGTTTTCCGGAACTATGTTGGCAAATATCCCAGAGACAGGTGCCCGTGTTTGGTGACAATGTTTTTATGAGCCAGAATGTCAGATTGACAGCTATATGAACATTCCACACATCATCCTTTTTGCCTTCAAGAACTAAAACTTATTGGCCAAAGGTTTTTTTTGTTCCAAGGAGAATGTCTGCAAAGAGAAATCTGTTTTAACCCTTTATCCAATGTGTATTTATTTGCATGTGTGTTTTAGGCTAGTTAGAGGATTTTTATAAATTAAAATCTAAATATGTGAACTGGTTTTTCAATATCATTGATCTATTATAAACAAATATGTTCAATAATGTTCATTTTAATAAGGAAACCTAGCTAATAGGTCTTTTTTCTATTTCAAGTCTAATATAGGGAAAGCATAGGATTGGCCTTTGTAGGAACTAGGTAAAACAATTAATTTCATATTGTGATTTGTGGAATAGTGAGTCTAGAGAAAGTCACTGCATTCCTCTTATCTCAGTTGTGTATGTACAACTTATATCCTAACCTCCAGGATTAACCTGTAGTAAAGATGGTTACTAGACAAAATGTGGTCAAACACCCCACAAAGCATATCAAACAGCAAATGTGTCTAGACAGAATCCACAGATTTCTCAGCAGCTCACAAGATGTCAGCAACACTGAGTCAGTAATCCCTGTTAAAATGTCACAAGAGATTCCAATTTCTACTCTTTCAAAGACCTAACTTTTAAAGTCCCTGAAAATTCATTCCATCTTGAACTGCTTCAATGACTACTTACATTTTGTTATTTCTCCTGCCTTTTCTGAGTCTAAGTTCCCATGGATTACTGAAACTGTTCCAGCATCTGCTTGCAGACATAACACCAGCTTTTCACACATAGCTAGCTTCATCAAGTTAGTACTGCCCCTGGATTTTTTTTCCAGAACTCTTCTAATCTTACTCAGTTGCATCAAGCAATTATTACTGATGGGCTTTCAACCCTCACTCTCTGCTGCAATGAATTATTAGTTCTTGTTCTTCTTCTTGCAAGCCCTAACTCTGACACTTAGCTGCCTAGCGACTCATTGAACTTCTTTCTGCGTTCTGACACCACAGATTTTGTGTCCAACTGATTTTGTCTTCCAACAACACAGAAGCAAGGCATGATGGGCTAAATGACCTCCTTCTGTGCTGTATTATTCTATGGTGTACTGAACAGTCTTATTTAAAGTTGTTACCAAACTAACAAGGTCAGAGAAACTACAAGAGACAGTAGTGACTACAGAGACATAAATTTTACAAATGAGCTGGACGAGATATATGTGGGTAGAACATTGACAAGTACATTTTAATATGACCAATTTTACAGTAATAGCAAAAAAAAACTGAGATAGTCCATAAATGGTACTAATCTAGCCAGAGATGAAGCTGAGGTGATCTTTGTCATAGCAGACTCAACATTTCCAACCAAAACAGAGCAGCTATCAACAACAATGAGATGTGAATTCTGTAGCAGAAACAATAGATTATAAATCACTAGAGGTAAGAATTAAATTATACAGTGCTATTGGTCAGACTGCACCTTTATACTCCAATCCCGTTTGCCAAGATACAAGGCAAAATAGCAAACTTAGTGCAGAGAACAGTCATACTTTTCCAAGGCATAGTGATATGAGAAAAGATAAAATTGGACTTGTAGTGATTGGAATCAGCCAGGTGGACCTTATCGGATATGAGTTCCCTGATTGGGGTTGTTAACCTGGTCCAATCAGGGAGTCCTGGCTGACACATATAAACAGGAGTGTCAGGAATTCTGCTCACTCTCGGAGCAGGCTTTGAGCTAGCTGGGTCAGTGTTATGTACTATGCATGTGTAAATAAAGGGTGACATGGTGATGGGGTACCAGCCTTTGTGGAGATATTTCAGGACTTTTCAGGGTTTTTTTTCCATCTGATGGAATTTTTATTTGAAGTGAACCGAAAATATTAATTCACAGTATCACTTTAGCAGATTTAAGACACGAGTTTCAAACGAGAAGTGAACTTTTAGGCTATCAGGATATTTTGCTTCATTGAAAAAATGATGAACATGTCGAATAAACTTCCAAATTGAGTTGTGGAGGTAAAAACTTTGATTTGAGAAACCTATTTTGACAGTGGTGGGGGTCAGAAGAGAGGGTCATTTTGACCAAATGGTCGTTCCCAGATCCATGATTGTTTGCTGATCTGATTCCATTCCGGTTTAAAATGCTTCACCAGAAATGTACATCCACAGGGCACTGTATCAAAGGCATACATTTATATTTTAAGTGTTCTGACGTAGACGTGACATAACCCAAAAGCTCTCAACACCAAATAAATACTGGGTCTCAAATTTAAGTATGAAATAAGGTGAGGAAGATTGTCAACACGTTTAAACGAATGTCAGATTGATCCACCTTTTAAAAATTGACACGCACTAAACCTGAAACTGGTCTTGGGCCAGTGAGAGTTGACAGGAATTTATGTTCGCCGAGGGTGAAATGTTTTCTGCAAAAAAAAGGGGAAACAACCCTAAATTTTACGGCTCTCAATTTTAAATTCGAAATTGCCCCACACTCTGAAGTGTTTCTGAGAATCGGCGGTGCCTCATTCCCAGTTAATGTCAACACTGAGAGCGGAGCAGGAAGGTTTCCACTTTATTGTTCGCTTGGTTTGTGGGTGTACGGGGAGGAGGCGGGCTTGAGGACCCGGAGGAGGAGCCGCTGAAGGAGCGTCCAAAGCGAAGGAGGAGGAAATAGAGAGAGACTGAGGCCGGAGCCTGGAGCTGGCATTGGGCAGAGAACCAGGATTTGAACCGTGGTAGCGGTGGCGGCCAGGCCGAGATGCCGAGCCCGCCCCGCTCTCCGTGAGAGTTGACTGAGAGATGCCGAGAGGCCGGCCAGCCGCGCAGCGCAGCCCGGTCTTCCCTTAGCCCCTCTCCCCCTCACCCTCCAGCCCGGGGCCGTGCAGAGTTAGCGGGGGCGATCGCTGTTCAAAACCTTTCCTTTTCCCCCCCCTCCTTCACCTTACTCCTTCCCGGTCAGTCTGTGTCCTCGAACAAGGCGAGGCCGCCGTCTCAACCGTCCCCCCCCCCGCATCATGGTGAGTACAGTCTCCGGCCCGGGAAGCCTGACGACCCGGCTTTCTTATTTGCTGGGGCTCGGGCAGACGCGCAGGCTCCGCTGTTGTGAAGTTGGTGCTAGGCCGCTTTAGCTTAGTTTCAAACTTGAGACTATTGTCCTTTCTGTTCAGTTCGCTTTCAAACTTCAATCTTGACAGGCTCGTTTTAAATCTTCGCTGTGTAACATTTAATTATCCACTTGGGGTTTCTGTCTTTACTGAGAAAAGCAACATTATCTACTTTGGCAACTGTTTTAGACCAAACGTACGTACATTCAGTTATATATTAGGCTTTTGTTTCACCGTTTTAGATACTAAATTGGTATTTTGTTTTCAAGCTGTAGAGAGACATTACAAAGTATCGTGAAGTGTATCACAGGTGATTTGATAAATTACTAGTTAAGAACTATAAACTTACAATGTTGCTTAATGAATTAAACTGCCAGTATTAATATCAATGTTTCATGAGGGGCACAACTTTTCAGTTTAAGTAGTTCTCTTTCTCAATGTGATGTGGTAGAGGCTTTCAATTCATTCTGATTTGAATGTTATTTTTATACATATTATAAAATCATAGGAAGGGGAATTCATTCAGTCTTGGTATGCTTGTGCTGAAGTAGTAATGTTTAGTTCTTCTCCCTTTTTGTCTGTAAGCTAAGTTCAATGTCATGTACTTGCCCAACTCTCTTGAAATTATTTCAGGAACCTGCCTGACGTCTTTGCAGCTAGTACTTCAAGTGCCAGTAATTATATGAAACGTTTCCTCATCTCCCCTATAAACTCTTGGCAATGATTGTAAATCTGTGATCTCTGCAATATGATTGCAAACGTTTGTGAAATGTTACGCATTAGATTAATTATGTACAAAGAATATGGGAAAGTATGAACATAGTGAAAGGAATATATTCCATTGGCATGTGATTTATAAGTTTGTGGTATTACTGTCAAATTTCACATTAGTACTAAAGTTGCTGTACTGTCCTGTGGCTTACTTCTGCATAGTTTTTAGTTGATTCAAAAATATTCTCAGAAAACTTGAACTACTCTTTATCCTAAGGAGATATTTCTTGTATGGTTGGTGTCATGTGCATTTATCCTGTGTTGTCACATGCTGCAATAATGTGCAATCCATCCAAACAAAAATGTTTCCTAATCTCCAGGAAGCTCTTAGATCAGTGCAAAATTATGCATCTTTACTGGTATTGTCAAACTTCCATAAACAACCAAATTTTAAGATGCATTTATGCTACAACATTATTGTTGTTACTTTACTCCAACAGAGATGTTTCAATTTAAACAATGTAAGAGGACCTATTACACATCTACAGAGATGCTGTGGGAAGATCTAGGAGGGGAGAGTTTCAAATTTTAGTTGGTGTCACTTGGAGTGTAACTTCAGTGCAACCACAAACGAGTGTTCATGGAATCCTGTGAATCCTCTGAAGGTTTACCAGTAATTCATTTTAATATTTGGGCAGTAGGGATACTACCACCTTTGCACTCTTTCTGAAGAAGGGTCTAGGCCCGAAACGTCAGCCTTCCTGCTCCTCTGATGCTGATTGGCCTGCTGTGTTCACACAGCTCTACACCTTGTTATCTCAGATTCTCCAGCATCTGCAATTCCTACTATCTCTGTAACAATTGTGAGAGATAGTTTGTTTGTGTTTTCATGCTGATAACAGTCCTTTTATAAAGATTTGCTACTTGTAGTACAGTTTTTAATTTCTATTTATGCATTTCCACTTGTTATAATTAGTGAAGTATTCCATTTAAATCTAGACAAAAACATCTGTGTGGCCTGATGGGTTTGCTTTTGTGATTCTATTTAAAGTGGTACTCTGCATATTTATTAAAAAAAACTGTTCTGTTTGTAATGGAAATTCATATACAGCCGGAGTGGAGAAGATAGAACAAAATTGTTTCTATTTTCTATTACTTTTTAGGGGACTGTGTGAAATGAATTAAAGTTTTGACCCAACAGGTTCTGTGCTGTGATATAGACTCTAAAGCTGTTTTTAATTGACAACAATTGTTTCTCTATCTTTTCCTTATATCACTTTATTAATAACTTTCAAATACCTAGCTAATGGTATTTTAAATTATCCTTGTTGCAATCATTATCTTGTAACTAGTGATAATCTTTTAGTCTTTTAAGCCTGTACTTCCATCTTAAAATATCATTGTTTTGCACCTTGGATGTGACTATCAATCTTAGCATTTTAGTTTATGCTGTATTTTGCTTTTGTCCCCCTAACATTTTCCAGCTGTCTGTTCTGTGCATTGAACTGTATGCAGTCCTTGTTTGTGATCTCTTGCTTTTGACCTAATTTTTATGCCCTGCCCATTAATTTGGTAGGAACAAATTCATACCACTTCCTTGTATGTCTGTGATTATATAAATAGATAACAAACCAGATCCCTTGGGTACACCAAATCCCACCAATATGAATAAAACATCCTATTACTCCTTTTTACTTTTAACCTGTAACTGTTTTGCAAGTCACTTCCACTATGTGCCTTAATGTTCAGAACAGGCACCTTGTGTTAGTTCTGTAGGAGGGCCACTGAACCCAAAACGTTGACTCTGCTTCCTATCTACAGATGTGGCCAGATCTGCTGAGTGTCCCCAGCTATTTCTGTTTTTGTTTCAGGTTTCCAGCATCCACAGTTCTTTGTTTTATTTTGCTCAGCATCTTGTGTTAATGTGTCTCTGAAATTCCACGAATGCAAACAATATCCAGTGGATTTTCTTCATAGACCAATTTCCTCAAAAAAAAATCAATTAACTCTTTCGAACATTAACCACACAGGTTGGACAGAGCATTTCTGTGTATCTGAACATGTCTGACATTAACAAGATAAGAAAAATAACTCCATACAGGCATTCCTGACCTGATGGGTATAAATATTTCTGAAAAGACAAATCAAAGTGAATACTGTGCTGTAATTCACATTATAGTGAAAGTCGTTCAGTTGTTGCAGATGTTTTAACTTGAATATGTGCATTCTGAGAGTCATGTCATCCTGCCAGTAACTCAATGTTACTGACCTGAAGCTACCAAACTGGAGTGGCTATTCACGAACAACTTCAGATTGCAGGTGTGTGTGCGTGCACGCGCGCGCGTATATTTAGCTCCTTTTTAACATAGTAAAATGTCCAAAGGTTCTTGAAACCAGTACAAAAAGATTTTTAAACACCAGAGTGATCTATTAGGATAAGAGGCCAAAGGCATAGTCAAAGAAGAAAGTTTCAAGTAGCATCCTAAAGAAGGAGTAAAAGGTTTAGCGAGGGAGTTCTGAGCTCTGGGCCAAGACCATCGAAAATCTCTGCTAGTGCTGGAGCAAATGGCCTCCTGTCCTGTAATTAATTGGATTGCTGTGTTAGACAGGTTGTCCGCATGAGCAACTTACTTAGTTCTATTTCCTAACTTTTCCATGTAGGTCTGCATTTATTTTCCCAGATAAATACCCAATTCTCTTTCATAGGCCTCAATTGAATTTGCCTCTACCACATTCTAAGGCATTGCATTACAGATCCTAACTACTCATGTAAAAATATTTTTTATAACATTACCATTACTGCTTTTACATCCCCGTAAGTTACTGTCATCTTGTTCCCAACCTTTTCACGAACGGGAACAATGTCTCTCTTTCTGCTCTGTCTAGACTCATAATTTGATATACTTTATCAAATCCCCTCTCAAGCACCCCTTTTCCCTGGAAAACAGCACCAGCTTCTCCCACCTGTCCTTGTTGTGGAATTCCTCATCTTTGGAACCTTCCTTCTGAATCTTTTCTGTATCCTTTATAATGTGATTACATCCTTCCTAATGTTTATACCAAGAACTGGGGTCTCGTACGATCTTGCCTTTATAAGAAAATTGCGTAATAACCATGACATTTAAAGTGATGGGGACAGAATCGCGTTATAGCCAATACAGGTAGGGAAAGTTCACATTCTACAAATAGCGTTCTATAATTCTTCAGTCGTGTTAAAACCAATTTGCATTGAATAAACACGTGTTATGTCAGAACCAACTGTACTCTGGTTGAAGCTGAACCATTATTTTACACAGATTTATCATCATTGTTCTTGCTTTTGTTTTGTCTCAATTTACAAACACTAGGATTCCATATGCTTATTAACACTTCTTGGAACTACCCTACAAACTTTCGAGATTTAGCTGCTCCTGCGTGCTTAGAATTTTGTATCCTTTATTTTGTACTTTCTCTTTTCATACTTCCTACCAAAATAATTCACTTTACCCTTCTATCAATTTAATACATTCCTAAATTAAATCCTTTCTGTTTTTTTCCACCTGTCACTTCCTTTTGAGGTCCATCATTACACATCTGAGTTCACACTTCCAGGTCTTGTGTTATCTGCAAATTTTGAAATTGTGCCCTTTTCTAACCCAGTCATCTAAATACCAGCCCATGGAACCCCAACTGTTTACTTCCCTTTAATATGAAAAACTACTGTTGACCATTACTGTGTTTCTTGTCACTCAGCTAATTTCATACGATTGCAGCTACTGCCCCTTTTTAATCCATGGGCTTTAACTTTCTGACCAGCTAATTGTGATATTTTATCAAATGCTTTTGGAAGTCCATGTGCACCACATCAACCACATTACTCTAATCAACCCTTTTTATTACTTCTACAAAAACTCAAGTAAGTTAGTTAAGCACATTTTGTGCTGCCTTTCCTTAATTAATCCATATTTATCCAAGTAACTCTTAAATTTGACCCAAGTTATCATTTCAAAAAGCAATCAGAATTTGAGTAGTGGAGGGAGTCTCAAAAGGTGCCTAAAACTAGGGTAAATTAGAGTTAATGGAGGTTTCAGATCATGGAGCAGTTTCAAAAAAAATACAAGGGTGTCAGATCAGAAGTCAATGTAAATTGGTAGGACACAGATGATAGATGAATGGATAGGGTAGCAAAGTTTTATTGAGCATAAATTTTATATAAAATGTAA